ATGTGGGTGTGTGGGTGGGTGTGGGTGTGTGGGTGGGTGTGGGTGTGTGGGTGGGTGTGGGTGTGTGGGTGGGTGTGGGTGGGTGGGTGGGTGTGGGTGTGTGGGTGTGTGGGTGGGTGTGGGTGTGGGTGTCTATTTTCTCGTAACCATCACCAATATCCAGACCCACACTCACCCTCAAGTTGCTCGTTCATAACATGTGGAATGGAGAGAATGATTATGACGTACACTAAAAAAAACTTTTTTTATTACAAACTAATAGGAATAATTTAAAGAACTTACCCATTATTAATATGAAACTTGAGGGTGTGGGTGTGATAGTAATAGAAATATGATACTCACAGCAACACCTACACCCACACCCTTTTTGCATCTTTGAAAAGTCGAAAGTCATATGTATATTGTTCATCTTCAAAATGAAAAATCTTTCCATTGTACCTTCCGAATTTTTCAACAAGATAAACAGCTGCCTCACCGTTAATATTTAAAAAAAATATATAAATGATTTTTTTGTTAAATACAAACTCACTATAGTCGCCGCCTTTGTGCGGAAGATTGTCGTAATCATTTTGTGTCACTAAATTAAATAAATTTAAATTTCTGGAAACTTAAATTACCAAATTAAATAAGTTATTTTAAATATTTGAATTTATTCTTACCAGGTTTGAATATATAGCATATTGATACAACAACAACTACTAAAAAAAGTTTTTATCAAGAAGTTCGTTGAAAATAATTTGTAGTACTTATAAGGAACGATGAACTTGATGTTGTTCTTTAACCATGTTGTTCTTGAAGAAGCTGTTGTTAATGCTTGTGGTTCTTGTTGTTCTTTTTGATTTTCTTTAGTGGTACCACCTTTTTGTTCTTCACGATTTTTTCTAGTCACATCATTTTGTTTTGAATTCACCTAAAACAAAAAGAAGAATTCCTATATATATTTCTTTTGTTGAAAATTAATTTTACTTACCATCCCTTCTCTTTGACGAACAGTTTCGGATGACATTTATTCTTATTTATTTTATTTAATACAATTCAATCAAAAATGATGGAATTGGTTCTTCTACATTAACAACTTTATTTTCCATTCCACATATTCCAGGTCTTGAGGGTGGGTGTGGGTGTGGGTGTGTGGGTGTGGGCGTGTGGGCGTCTTTCTTCTCGTAACCAACACCCACATCCAGAAACACACGCACCCTCAAGATGCTTGTTTCTCTTTCTGTTCACTATATTGACTATTGATAAACAATAGCATTTTCTCAACCATTTCTTCTTATCTATTACATTACAGAGAATTATTTTTCTTCTGCGTGTTTCGATATATAAATACGAATCGGTGAAATTGAAGTTATGGGTGTGAGTGTAGGTATCGTATTTATATCACATTTACACTCACGCTCAAGCCCTCAAAGTGATCAATTCATATGTACATATATAGAATTAATTTATTAAAAATCTTAATCATCAATTTTACGATGAAAGCTACTGCTGCCAGATGTAAAACGTCAAACAAAAGACATGAGACGGTTAATAAGCGGCATCGATACGGTTCATCGTTATTCACCGTAAACGACTTGAAACGGCGCCGCTTCCGTTCCGACAAAACTACATATACAAATCTAGGTATACGGATTACGGTGTTAAACAGCAAGAAATGACATTCGTTCACGCCCGTTTCATGCTTTATACGGCGCTCAGAATCATCGACCTGAGATATGTTGGAATGGCACATAAAATTGTTGATTAAATTGTGCTAAATAAAATAAATAAGAATAAATGTCATCCGAAACTGTTCGTCAAAAAGGAGAGGTCGTAAGTAAAATTAGTTTTCAATAAAAGAAAAATATATAGCAATTCTTCTTTTTGTTTTAGGTGAATTCAAGACAAGATGATATGACTGAACAAAATTAATAACAACAAGAGCCACAAGAATCAGAAGATTATACTAATGTACCAAATCAACAAGAACCACAAGCATTAACAACAGCTTTTTCACGAACAACATGGTTAAAGAACAATATCAAGTTCATCGTTCCTTGTAAGTCCTAAAAATTATTTTCAGTGAAGTTTTTAATAAAATGTTTTTTTTAGTTGTTGGTGTTGCTGCTGTTGCTGTTATAGTAATGTACTGTATATTCAAATCTGGTAAGAATAAATTCAAATAAGTTATTTTTTTTTATTTGAATTTATTTAATTTAGAGCACCAAATTGATCATGGCAATATTAAGTACTTGATCGATAATAGTGAGTTTTCATTTAATAAGCAATCATTTATTCATTTTTTTTAATATTAAAATAGGTGCATCTATTGAACTTAATAAGAAATTACTACCATACTCGGGAAAGAATTATTATTATCGAGATGAAAAATATAAATATACTTTATGTATGTATCAACACGTGAGGGTGTGGGTGTGGGTGTGGGTGTGGGTGTGGGTGGGTGAAAGGTTTGTTCTTATTTAACACCCACACCCTCGACATAATTTAAGTTTTTTTAAATTTAAATTACAAAATTAAATACTTTATTTTTTTTACTTTGAATTTATTCTAACCACGTTTGATCATACAGTATATTGATCCAACAACAACCACAAGCATCTTCATCATTAACAACAGTGTTAAAGGACAACAACGTGGCCATCGCAATAATTTGTCGTAAGTTCTACAAATTATTTCTATGAACTTTTATCAAAAAAAAGTTTTTTTAGTCTACGTCATAATCATCCTCTCCATTCCACATGTTATGAACAAGCATTAATGAATATATATCCAATTATGGTGTTAAACTTTTCTTGTCTTGATTATGTTTAACTTTTCCTGTCTTGATCATATTAAACTTTTTTCTTTTTTATGTTTAACTTTTCTTTATATGATCATGTATTAATTATTACTGATGTATAAAGATAAATAAAATAGATCACGTTCATGAATTAACATATGTTTCAAGAGAAAATGAAATGAAGAAATTTCAAAGATTTTTATTCATAGAAATTATCTTTAGAAGAAAAAAAGAAATTGTTTTATTAGGAATTTTATAATAAATCAATAATATAGATAAATAATTAGTTCTTATTTAAGATAAAGATTTTTCATCGAAAACTAGTTTCAAAATAATAAATGAGAGAAAGATAAATGGATGTTATTTTTATGATAATAATGAAAATATTGGATAAAATAAATATATAAACAAAAGAGAGAGTAAATTTTTAATTTATATATATTTCCATAAGATATGTGCATAAAAAAACATGATTTTTTTATGGAAAATCTATTTTAAAAAATATTTGTTGAAAACTAAATGAGATATATATATATATGTGTGGAAATTTTATGATTTTTCTAATCAACGGATGTTTTGCAAAATTCATTTTCGATTTCAAGTAAAATAAAGATATTGATATTTCATAGTTATTCTTATTATCTCATTTGGAATTATTTAAATAAAAATAAATGATAAGTATTATTAGACAATTTTTTTCATATAATATTCCTCTAAGATGTTAATTCGATTGTGAAATTAAAGAAAATAATATTTTTATATTAGATTTATATTATGATATTTGAATAGATAAATTCTTATTTATTTCATACGATTTAATCAAAATAAGAAAAATATAGTGATAATGACACGACATATATAGTAAAGAAAAGTGAAATGTATGGAAAATATTAAATTTCTAATGAAAACTAAATTCTATTTGAAATATTGACAAATTATTTTATTTTTATTTATTTATTCCAAATTTTCTAGAAGAAAAGATTATTTTTTTCTATTATTAATTAGAAAATTATTTTATTTATATAAGAATAAGAAATATTTAAAAAATAAAACAAGAAGAAAATTCTCATGTTTTCTTGCGTTCTGTTTAAGCATGAATTAAAACAGTTTAATCTCTCTCTCTAACGTTTTATCTTCATTATTTCGAAATCTAAGAAGAAAAGAGGAAAATTTTATTCGTGTTTAAAATGACCACATGTGATAGAATAAATTCAATTTGAAAATCTAATAAGATGATTTATATCGTTGAAAAAGGTTAAAAAAGAGAAAATACTTCATTTATATTCTTAATCTCTCTCATCTACGGAATAATATTAATCGAAATAAAAGTTAATTTATTATTTCTATAACTAATTCTTTTCATTGTAAAAAATTCTCAAAATTTTAAGTGTTTTCTTTCGAAATTCTATCTTGATGACACATTAAAAATGTGTGAGAGAGTAAATTTTCTCTTAATGGTAAGGAAGTTACTCTTGTAAATTTGTTTGAACAAATAGAAAAGGAAAAGTAACTATTGATTTCTTTTTATTTTTGCTTTACCATTATTTGAGAAACAAAGAATTAAATGAACATATTTAACAAACGACACATAATAAAGTTCTACTAATGACGTCAACAATAAAAATAAAACAAAATATTTCAAGATTTTCTCAATATCTCATATAGAAATCAATGAAACAAATAAACTTAAATAATGTTACCTTTTCTATTAGTATATGTTCAAGATAATTGAGGAAAGAATTTATTGAAATAAGTCAGCTTAAAAAAACGAATTTGAAGAACTTTATTTGAAGATCAGAAAAATCTTTACAAAGACTGTTGAATATGTTTTATTTCGAATTATATTTAATAATATCTACTCTTCTTTTATTTTAATGAACTGTTTAACATATGTTGATGCTTTTTCTTTCTTTTTTTTATCGTATTTGTCTTTTTACTTGAAAAAATTCTACGAGTTAATTATTTATTTTAAAATGTTAGAAACATATTTATTAAGAGATCGAAGAAGATGAATCAGTATATTTATCTTTCAATTAACGTTACATAAAGTTACAAAAAAATACACTTATTTTATTTAACTCAGTTGATAAATGATGTTTATATGTCTATTCAGGAGATCTACCAACAGATACAATACTACTATCTAATCATGGTTACAATTTAATTCCTTATTTCTGACGTCTTTATGGAGTTGAAGAAGAAGAAAAGTTGGCTAACATATCATATGAAAATATTTAAAATAACATGACGTTTGCTGAATTATATTGAGAAAGTGTAACAACTGTGGAATTACTCAAATGATCTTATCGAACGATATAAAAGAATTGAAGAAAAATGTGTTTCTATCGAAAGAATTATTCTAACTGTTAGTAAAGGTATTCGATTAAACAAAACTAAAAGTGAACAAATGTCTAAACAGATTATATTAAGTATTCTAACATATCTTTATGATCGATTTCATCGCTAATTAATTGATAATATTGATAGAAATGAAATGAAAAACGTATATGGTCTATGGTACAATATTCTTCTTCAATTAGTACTTTGAATTAATTTATTGAGTGTAATATTTATTATTATTTCAATTATTCGTTCTCATTTAAATCTCGAAATAAGATCACCATTTATTATAGATCATCTACGATTATAATTAAAACAAGAAAATTCTCGTTTTGTAATATGATTTCTATTGATATTATTAGCATTAACATGATTAATCCTTTCATTTAGAAGTCAATCTATGAAATCATCAAATAATTCCTGATTATTTTTTATTTTATGTTATTTTAACTATCAATGATAATATTTGTTGTCGAGATTTTACTATGAAAAGTATATAAAAATCAAATTTAACGCTACTGTTCAGCAAAAAATTGAACGTCTTTGTCGTTTATTATAAGGAATTTTGTGAATATAAAATATAAGAAATGATGGATATGGACGTGGAATTAACTTTTCTCTACTCATATCCATCCTAAATATTATATAAATAAGAATTCGAATGTTGTATAGAAAAATGATCTTTAATTAAAAATAAAAGCATAAAAAATATCTTTAGATAAAATTTCTATTATGATAGAGTTATTTATTCTCTTTTATCACTGAAAAAAAGGCGTATGATTTAAATCAAAGTAAAAAGTGTAATAATATATATCGAAATGTATTATAGTATCATTTACTTTTCTTTTCTTCTATTATATACTGTAAAGATGATATGTATTATATACAATATTTGCCACACCCATCCTAGATAACGAAATAGTTAATTATTTATCTTTTAGAGTAATTACTCGATTAGCACTTTCGTGTACACATTCAATTTACTCTCAATGAATATATAAAATTGAAAGATATGATTTAAATTCGAAATAATCAAAATACAACTGTCAACTTTTTTTTTTTATTTTTGAATTCTATATCGAAACACGTTTTTTGAAATATTTCCAAACGATGATTATCAGCAATAAAAACAGTAATGACTGATGAGAGGAAAAACAAAGAGATAGATTAATTATTACTTTAATTAGATTAAATTAGTTTTTACTGATATTTATCTATGAAAAAAACTGTCCATTTTATTAATTTAACTGAAAAAAGATAATATTCTCATATGGAAGAATAACATTCACTTAAAATATTTAATTTCATATTTATTTTTGAATTTTGTTAGAAAAATTTTCAAAACAATAAGAATTTCGGGAAACAATTTATTTATTAAGTAAAATTATTTAAATCCTAAGTAGACTTTTACTATGTAAAATTTACATTTGCTCAGTAAATATTTTAGATGTAAGTCGAATGATTAAACGCTAAGTAAATTTAAAGTTTCTCAGTAAAAAGCTAACTGCTAAGTTAAAATACTAATATTCGAGTAAATTATTTTTTCACTAAATTAATAAATTAAAATCATAGTAATAAACTATATATGATCGAGAAAAAATTTCATTATTAAATAATTTATTATGAAGAGAAAGTATTTGTAAAATATCAAATTAAAGTTTCTATATTTCTACGATGACGTCTAGATTTTCTCTTTCGTTCTTTAGTCGAGAGTGACTATGTACACTTGCTCTTCTCGAACATTTAGGTACTACTTTTTTTCTTTCTCTTTACTATATTGACTATAGATAATCAATAGTGGGTGTGGGTGTGAGTGTTAGTATTATATTTATATCACATTCGTATCCACCCACACCCACACCCTCCTTCAACATGGAGAAAAAAGAAAAAGAGAAAGAAAAGCTTTATTGTTATAATGACTGTGTAGTTAAATTTTTCACTTAATTATTCACCAAATCTTTACTGAACAAAATCCATATAGTTACTTATTAGTTTAGAATAATTTCTATTAGAAAATTGTTAAATAAATCAAAACTATTTGTTCATATACATATATATGATTATTTTTTCAATTATTTTAATGAGGATTAAAAAATAAATTTAACTGGATCATATTAATAAATAATCAAAGGTTTATTTGTATTGTTAACCATTGAAAATAATAATATTTACAACTAAGAAAAAAAGTGTTTCAATCAAATGAATAATATAGAAATCTAATCTCTTATGAACTGAAGATTAATCGAAAGAATAAAATAGTTTTAAAACAAAGAAAAATAATTTCATGAAGAAAATTCACTCAAATGAAACATTAAACTTTCAACAGAATATTATTTTTTTTATTTATTGTTGAGATAATTCGAAATCAGAATTTCTATTTATTTTTAAACATAAAAATCATCTCATTTTTTCTTAAAAAGAATTTCTTAATCATATACATCAATGTCTTATTTCGATTATTAAAAAGAAAATTTTTCTAGAATATAGACGATCGAATTAATCGATTTAAAAGTTCTTATTTTAAAGAAAATATTCTTTTATTGGAATTTAATTGAAAACAAAAATCCTATTAAGATTCTTTTCTTGTTTTCTCTTTATAATCATATTTGTATTATACCAATTGATAGAAATAATCAAATTCTTTATCTTAAACATTTACATAGATTTCATCAAGCGAACAACAAAGAAACAA